GATGGTCTTGAACTCCTGGCCTCAAACAATTCTTCTTAGGCCTCCCAAAGTGCTATGATTACACGTGTGAGCCACTGTACAGGTCCAGATCTTTACTTTAAAAAGATCTGGGCTCGGTGCCTGTGGCTCAAGCGGCTAAGGCGCCAGCCACATACAACTGAGCTGGCAGGTTTGAATCCAGCCTGGGCCTGCGAACAACAAAGACGGCTGCAACCAAAAAATAGCTGGGCAGGCGCCTATATTCCCAGCTACTTGGGAGGCAGAGGCAGGAGAATCACTTGAGCCCAGGAGTTGGAGGTTGCTGTGAGCTATGATGCCATCATCCTCTACCTAGGGCGACAGCTTGAGGCTCTGTCTCAAAAAAAAAAAAGATCTGGACCAGGCATGGTAGCTCATACCTGTAATCCTAGCACTCTGTAAGGCTGAGGTGGGCAGATTGCTTGAGCTTGGGAGTTTGAGACCATCCTAAGCAAGAGTGAGAGCCTGTCTCTACTAAAAGTAGTAAAACTAGCCAGGCATAGTGGTGCATGCCTGTAGGCCTACCTACTTGGAGGCTTAGGCAAGAGAGTTGCTTAAGCCCAGCAGTTTGAGGTTACTGTGCACTTTGCCACGATGGCCCTGTGCCCAGGCTCACGCCTGTAATCCTAGCTCTGTGGGAGGCCAAGGAGGGTGGACTGCCAGAGTCCACTGGTTTGAGACTATCCTGTACAATGCAGGCTACAGTGACTATTCCAGTGAACAAGAGGAAGACCCTGTCTCTAAAAATAACTGGGTGTTGTGGCCGGTGCCTGTAGTCCCAACTACTTGGGAGGCTGAGGCAAAAGAATTGCTTGAGCCCAAGAGTTGGAGGTTACTATAAGCTATGATGCCACAGCCCTCTACTGAGGGTGACAAAGTGAGACTCTGTCTCAACAAAGATTAAATTAAATTAAGTAAAAAGATTCCTCTGGGATGATGCAGATGCTGAATCACAGAGAAACCCTGGAGGCCTGAGACCCTCAAGAGGACTGTCAGCTTGGTGCCTTAGCTCAGAGGCTAGGGCACCAGCCACATACACCAGAGCTGGTGGGTCTGAACCCAGCCCGGGCCTGCCAAACAACAATGACAACTACAACCCCAAAATGGCCAGGCGTTGTGGCGGGTGCCTGTAATCCCAGCTCCTTGGGAGGCTGAGGCAA